TGTCGATCGTATCGGTTCGGCTAAACTCGGGAAGCGCCACCGTTCTTGATTTCGTTAACTGGGTTGTTTTTCACAATTTCTGACTTTCGGCCAATCGACCTGTTTCTGATTTTTCGGTCGATTGCACTAGTTTGAATTTTCGCGTAATCTGACCATTGGTATGGGTTTCGTTCAGTTTGAGGTCGCACTAAAATGTACAGATATATTTTGCTTTTGGATAACAATTCCCGAGTCGCGGCACCAAAATATTCTGGCCTTTTTTATAACTCGAATAAAAACAGGAAACAGAATCGGTTTAATTCAAGAGAATCTATAAACGATGAATTTTAGTAATTCATAATGCACGGAATTAGCAACAACATTACACGTATCAAGTTAAAAAGTGGGCTTGGTCATGCGCTGATTTGTGTGATTTATGTGTTTTTTCACAATGAATTCACACTTAGTTCGCGCAGTTGAATTAACAGAAACTCAATTGCAAACCAATTTTGAACCGATTAAAATATTAGCATTTTATGTTCTATCAAGTTCGGCTCAAATAGGATTCTCAAATGAAACGACTTAGGTTAGAATCGAACCCACGCCGAACTCCCCGGAACGCACTATGTATACGCTGAGCTATATAGCTGGTATTGCTAAGCAACTGTACTGGCTTTATACTATACTTTCATACTTTCAACTTTAATGCTATGTAGCATTAACAACCATGGCTTGCTTAGCTAACATGATCAAAGCAGACCTGCTTCTAGAGGCTAAAAAATTGCAGTTGCTAGAGGAAGAAAAAAATCAGAAGCTAGACCATGAAGATACCATTTTGAAAAGCAGGAACAATTACAAGAAGCTCGTCTACAACAACAGACCCTACAATTTAAACAGGAAACTATCACAAGACTGGAAAAAGATGTAGAATTCTTTCGAAAACAAATTGAAAAAATAATTGACAATTTACTAGAACAAAAACAACAAGTATCCGACGTTTCAACAATACAATGACGAATTTCAGCCCGAATTTGTCCCTCGGTTTGCAAAATCCTCATAATATCGGACCGCTCCTACCGAAAAATTAATCAACAGGATATTGGACCACTAACTGCAAAATATATTCATATTCATCGGCTACTCTAAATGACGTTGTTAGTATTGTTGACACATATACTTATGGGACAAAAGTTAAAACCTTGTTATGCATGTGGGACATGATGCTAGTGATGGGGGACTAACCGGAAAAGAAACTTGTGAACAATTTCGTGAAACTATTGAGAAATCCGTTAAGAAATTCAAGCCTCATAGAGTTGCAGCTTGCAAAATAACTCCTGTGAAAAACGTTTTTTTTGTAGAGATCAAAACAACACTGAAATAAACTTTTTCAAGGACGCTCTGGTCAAAAGTTGAGTGTCTGAATACTAATCTATCACCTACTAACATTTGTGGCTAGGGATAGTGGCATTCAACTACTAGTGGAAATTCTAAGGGGCTGTTTTTCTGAAAACAGTCTCGCCATTTCCAATGCTGAAATTAAACAGCAGAAAATAGTTCGCAAAGCAAAGGACGTTTGAGTTACAATTTTGACTGTTCTTCCACTAAAGGAAAATAATACAATCAAATACCGGTCTTATTTATATCTGCATGTACTATTGTATTCTATTTACTTAAATTTTTTTTGCTTATCTTAAAAAGACTCAAGTTAGTCCTCTCAGAAGACATTGAGAAAATCCTAGACCAGCAAGAACTATTATCTTTTGAACATTTTCTGCAAAATGAAGGTCAACCTAACACAGTGAAATTTTGCTTGATAATTTTCAGAACCGCACAAAACAGTTATCAGGAAATCGACGATTTTTTAGTGAAATTTTGATGAACACTATAGTTGTAGCAACAGAAACATGGCTCAATAAAACCAGCAGAAAATACTTTTTTAAGCTCAAGGAATAATTTTGTTCGTCTTCCACGCTCCGAATGGACAGGTCTAAAAAGAGGGGGAGGTGTTGGAATTTGGACTCCTTCATTATTCAAAATGCATTTTCCTAAGGATCTCATGACTGGTGAAAGAAAGTTTTTGAGTCACAATGGGGTAAAATTGAATCATCAAGCATGCGAAAAACTTTGATTAATTTTTCGTCAATTTTGCTCTCGATATTTTTGCTCACGAAAAAACCTCTCCGTAGTTTTTTGACGAATTAAGTGGTGAAATTTCTCAAGCGTTTGCTTCAAAAGTGGTAGTTTTTATGTTTGAGGACTACAATATAGATCTTCTAAAAAAGGACGAGTCATCAAAACTTTTCGACTTTGCTGCAAATTTTCGTTTAACTATACCAAACTTCACTTAGCCATCACGTGTAAAAGATAATGATTTTTCACTTATCAACCATTGCTTAGTTTCCAACAACCTTTTTAAGATTTTTCAAGATTCCAAGATTTTCATTTTTTTAAAGGGGATAATTCAACTTAGATCTTGCCTTTTTTGATTGGTCAGATACGTATAAAAAATCCTCGGGATCGGAAATGTTTGAGACGTTTGGACTTATTGTTGAAAAAGTTATAAGTGCGCATGCTCCATATCTCACAAAAACCATAAATCAAAAACTGGTAACCAAAAATAAAAAAGCATGGAATGATAAATCCTTGAAGACTCTGATAAACAATAAACATAGGTATTTCAATATATGGAAAAACACTGGTTGTGAGGTAGCGCACAGAGAATACAAAAAGGTTAGAATTTTGGTCAACTGGAATCTGGCAATTGCTTGACAAAAATATCACATTGAAAATTTTCAGCAGCTTTCCAACAGTAAAGAACAATGAGATTTCATAAACAAAAAAAAACAAAAAAATAGGGAAAAAGAGTAATCAAAAGTCAGTAACTATCAGCGAAATAGATCTGGAAAATGGTAAAAAAAACAAAACATGTTACTGAAATAGCAAATTATTTGAATTAAGTTTTCTCAAATATAGGTACTTTTAATGGTGAACATATATCCCGAAAAACAAAAGATCAAATTACAAGTGCAGTTTTTGATTTTGGTTGCGTCACAAGAAAAAAAATTTAGGAAGAAATGAATAAAATATCGTTGAATAAATTTCCAGGGCTAATGGTAATATAAGCTTTTTGCCTTCATCAAGGTAGACTTGCTCTCGGTACACACCTCCAATTCGCAATAAATGAAAGTATATTACAAAACCAGTTTCCATCCTTGCTCAAAAAAGCATATATCACCATTGTCTTCGAAAAAGGTAAAACACAGGTTGCATCAAATTATGTTGCAAACACCTTGCATCAAACTATGTTGCAGTTTAGGACAAACACGCTTTCAAAAGATTTTGAACGCTTGTTTGAACCAAATTAAGGAACAAAATTCTTTATTAAAGTCTAACAAATCGGATTTCAGGAAAACGAATCTGCGACTGATGCAGTTATCACTTTTACTGAAATGGTTTTTGAAAACATGGATCAATCAAGAAAAACAAGTGCACTTTTTCTCGATCTTGCTAAAGCTTTCAATTCCATTTCTCATGAAATTGTCTTAGAAAAAAATTGACATGTGTGGTTTTTCCAAAAATGCATCAAATCTCCTAAACGCTTTTTTAAAAGACCTTCAAGAAGGTGTAAAGCTTCAAAATCATTAATTTGACTGGATAACACTTTATCATAGCGTTCCACAAGGTGCTGTTTTCGGACCCTTAGATTTTTTTCTTAACGTAAATGTTTTTAAAAATTAAATCAACATTAACATGAATTTAGTACAAGTATCTTATTAACAGGAAACTCATTTTAGGACCTAAGAACCTCAATGCTAGAAACACTAGAAAAAATTCATAAATATTTGAATAAAAACAAACTTGTCCTTAATTTTGACAAAAACGGAATTTGTTTTCTGAGGGAAAAAGATTAAATTAGAAAAAAATTTTATAGAGAAGAAAAACTACCTACAAAAGAACATGCCAGGTATCATGGAGTTTTAGTGGACAGAAATCTTACTTTTTCAGCTGAATTGAATAAATTTTAAGCAAAATGGCTGTTGCAATTAAGTCAATATACTGCGTTCTACACATGGTACCGTTAGAAACAATAATTATGCTTTTTAGATCACTAGTTTCGTCACATTTATCTTTCAATTCAGAGCTTTTTTCAAAATCTACCCATTTCTCAAATTAACAAAATAAACAGACAAATTAATTTAAGAAGCAAAGTCTGCTATCTCCGCAAAAAATATGATCATGCATGAGATTTACTTCTCAAGTCTAAGGTCTTACCAGCCGAACTTTTCATTACCCAGCATAGCTTGACTAGAATGTTCGGTGTGGTGAAAAGTATTTAAAAATGAATTTGGTAGGCAGTTCATCTATAACAGAGTACCTGTGAAACTAAACGAACGCACAAAACAAATGAAAAGAAACAGATTCCTAAAAACAAATTGGGGGAAGAAGTCTGCCTTAAACAATAGTTGTTATAAATGGAACAATTTAAACATAAAGTTGAGAAAAGTTAAAGCTAAACAAAATTTTAAATTTGATTTGAAAACTTTTTAAATAGAATTACACGGAAAAATTCTTATTGACATATCCATAAGTTCTTATCGAAATTGTTTTTATATTAAGTTTTAGTATGGTTTTATTCATTTTCATTTCTACTAGTTGTATTTGTATATTCACACGCCGGTTTGGTTGTTGTTTTTTAACTTATTATGATAATTACTTTTTGTAGCAGCATGTATGTTTAACCAAGTGGTGATTTTGAATTTATATGTTTGTAAAAGAAAAAAGTAATAATTTAATTATCAGATTTCCCAGTGAAGTAAAATTTTTACCTATTGATTCAGTTTTCTCAAATTGGGCAAATTTTATCAAAAAAGTGGTAATCATAATTTGTTCTTTAAGGCCATCTATTTAGTCTTTGAGTTTCGAAATTTTTTCGATCCTTGACCTTTTTGCAACCGTCTGTTGACCGGGTTTTGCTTTGCACTATAAACGATGTTGTCTCCAGTTAAGGTTGTTGTTTGTAGGACAGTGCCAACTACATCAAGTTCAAAATGTACTTTGTGCAAGCCCACACGAAGATCCGAGACCATGCTGATCTGTTCATTGCCCTATTCGAACTGGTAAATATATCATCAGAGTTTCTCAGTTTGAAGGGCGCGACAGTCTAACATAGTTTTCAAAGCTACTCTTCTCGTAAACTTGGAAAGAATGATGAAGAAGAAAGGGTTTAATGAACCGAAACTAACTCTTAAAAACGTTTTTAAGTCATTTTTGAAAAGTGTTTGCAATTGATTTGTTTTCATTGGTGGGCCAGGGTGACCACTTGGTCACTATTTTAGTGACCAGTCACTATTGGTCACTAATTGGTAACTATTCTTCCAATGGTCACTAAAAGTCACTATTTACAACGGTTTTTGGCGACGGACCCTAAAATTTTTCTAAAGGCGCCAAAATATACTAATATTGAGGGGGGAGCGCGCGCCAAAAAAACGCAATTTTTTTTTTTCAAAATTTTTCAAAAAGTGCCTAAAACTGTCTTTTTCAGCCTGTTTATTCTAAATTATGCTTGCGGCGCAGAAATTTTGGCCAGTTTTAGTGCTTTGGCAGAGCTTGAAAAATTAATTTGGCCGACCTAAAAAAAAGGTAGACAAAAAATTCGAAAATTGTCATAGTCACTATTTTTCTCTCAAAAAAGTGGTCACCCTGTGGTGGGCGGGCTTTAAAAACAGCGCACATTTTTTATCAACAAAAAATTAAATAGTTTGAAGTTTTTCATTTACTGCGGGAAGGTAAGTATATATTTTTTCATTTTTCTGCGAGTTTTTCATTTACAACGGATGCGAGCCATACTTTAAATAAATCCTATCTGAAAAAGAAGTGGTCAATTTAAGATGCTGGGTGCGGGTATGCCGGAGTTGCGATTTGCAGAGCACATCAATTTTCTCAGGGACAAAACACTGTTGGTTGGGACAGAAGACAGGGGTAAAAGTGTACAGCAGAAGATCATGGATGTGTTTGATGCGGCGGCCACGAACCAGCGCCAGATTTTGAACCAGCGCATTCACCAGTTGAAATAACAGAAAGCACCCAGATTCAGTATCTTTTTACGTTCAAGGACGACTTTTACGCGGAATCATATAAAACCCGGATAACAACTAAGAAAACTGATCGACACTTGTCAGCTTCTTGCCAAAAAATTTATTGAAAAATTGTCATTGTGAATACTAAATTTTGGTACAAAAATGAGTACGTGAATATTTTCGAGAAGAATAGTATTTTGAGAATTCTGGTATTTTAAGTTTAAAAGCTTTTTTGCGGGTTAATTTATAGTTACTTCTTGTTCAATGTTTTCATCGCTGTCATTTAAAAAGTTTTTGGGTGCCGTTAAAAAGCTCTATCAATTATGATAAGGGTTAAAAGTAATCTAAAACCATTTACAACCCATTCTTAAAACAATTGGTTCACAAAATAGTTTTTGAAACCTATTCTAGTTTTACTTTGTTTTGAACAATTTGTTAAAAAAACAGTTTTTGGTGCTCTTCGATCTGTTTTGCTTTGCTTATAAAATTTTTGTGCAAAAAATTTCCTTGATATTTTTTGCTCTAAATTGTTGGCTAATGTAGATTTTGTGCTGGATTTGGGCTGCAGTAGATGTGGTTTAACGATCAAATAAAATAAGTTTGTTTCATTCACGAAATATTTAAACGTTTATAAATCTAAATATCAGGAACTAAATGAGTCACGGCTGGCAATAATTGGACAAGTAGTGTTTTATTTAACTATATAATTTCAATTAAGTTTCTGTATTTTTTCGATTACAAATTTTGGTAGCTTATTTATAACGTACTACAGAAAATAACCGGATTTCATCATGTTTACACTAGCGAACTTAAGTGAGCGTTAATTTAATTGTAAGATTCCTCTTTTTCCTAACCTAAGTCGCAAATATTGGTGTCAACTTTACGGTTTTTTGATAGCATGTGCTTTAAAATTCGGACAGTAATAAGTTAACACAAATGACGCATATTTAATTCATCAAATGAACCGAAGAAAGTAATTTGTTTCAAACAACAAAAAAACTTGATTTCAGAAATTTTTTAACTCATTGAATCTCGTAATTTTTTGAAATGCTCAGTTTATACTTAATGCGGCCTAATTTTTTCCATAGTACTTCATGTAAAATTAGTGAGGATGCCTTCAGTTTGTTAAATTCAAATCATTACTTGCAAAATTGTGCTATTCGTATTTGGTGTCATTTTTGCTGCATGGCATTGGCAATTTATTAGCATATGTAGCTGCCGTATGAGTGACTAGTGTTTGCCGGCTGTTAAGGGTTCCTGGCCAAGAGGGAAGGGCGTGAGACTCCAACTCTTGAGCTCGCAAGTTGGAAGCCCATACGTAGCAAGGTTTTACTGATTCGAGGCTTATTTCCTACTTTTTTTTTATTTCACTGTATAAAACTGCTTTTTTTGTCATGTTCTCGCTAGTGTTTGCGATGCGTGGTTTGTCTCTGTGTTGAAAAATTTTGTGGGGCGTCTTCACATTCAAACAGTTTAAAACATCAAAAAAGCTGTGATCAATCTGATTTGTATGGCTTACCTTTTGAGACTTTTTCAACTTAGTAAAATCAGCCAAAAAATCTCTAACTGAAATAAAAATTGAACGCCAAAAATGAGAACAAACTAAATGTTAGCTTAATTGAGATTTTATCACTGAACAAAATGTTGAAGACAAGTGAAGTTTTTAAGACAAGAAAGTGCGTATAATCTCTTCTAATGAATTGACATTTGTGGTATTTTATGAAACTTTTGATGTACGTTGTAGAAATAAAGTATTAGTCTTGAAAACCAATCAAGAAATATACTGGTACAGAAACCTTTGCGGCTTTCAATAAAGGCTTTTCGATTTTTGCCAGACGTGAATGTATTTGTGTATAAATTGTCTCATTGAAAAATGATAATTAAATAATTATATTCTTGTAAAGTTCGTTTATTGTGCATTCAAATAATATCAAATCAATAAAATGATCGAGAAATTGATTGTTTGAGAAATAATTGAGTTTTTTTGGTTAAATAGAAGTTATTCTGATTGTCTAGAATTGTAAGGCTTACCTGGAAGTGCAATTTTTCTTTTCGAGAGATCGTTCTTGATAATTGTTTTTTTTTTGAAATTTGTCAAAAAATTAACCGTAAACAAGTAAAAACGATACAGGTTTCAAAAATAAGAATAGTTGCTGTGCAAGTAGCTAATAATGTTTCGATTCTGCAAATTTTGGTAAGATCAATTTTTGATTCAGAAAAAAAGTATGATAAAATGTCAAAATTGGTCTTTCTTTGGAGAGTTTTTCTGTTGTTGAGTTTTTAGTTAGTGAGAGCAGACGGAATTGGGAACTGAGAACTAGCTTAAATAAATCCGAAAATTTTTTAATTAGATTGGACATTTGGCCTATAGTTTCCAGTCTGCTATAAAGCATGCGACTAAAAAGTAAAAAGATACTTCCAGATTTTTTAAATAAAAAACAAACCCATTACGAGGCCAAACTGTGCATTTTGTGCATTGTAAGGGGATTCCGCAACAAGGACGCTTACTTTTCTCTTCTTTTGTTCTTTACTTTCCTTTGATCGTTCCGACAAAATTTTCACATGTTTAAAGACTTGTCTCTGGAATCCAGGAACATACAGACACAAAATTGTGCTCCTATCCAGTGCACAGTTTGGCCTCGTAATGCCCAACGCTGTAGTTCAGCGCTATTGGATCAAGCCATAGCATCAGTTGGAAAAATTGTCCTGTCTCTTAAACATTACTCCGCTGTAAAGTATACGGGTAGGGCCCCGCGTCAAGTGTTTTTGGCCGACCGGTCAAACCGACGAAAACAGGTCAATTGGGAAACTCTTGCTGTTGCATCGCTTCATACGGATCGTTTTTTTGTGCACATCCTTGAAACCATTTTGTTCAAATATATATAGTAAATAATCATATAAAAACGAGGGCGCACTAAATACATTTTGCGCTCGTTTTTTTCCTCCTTTATTTCAGCAATTTAGCAGTTTCAGTTATTTTTCAAATGCTGGATACTTTTGTCAAGGTCAATTGTAAGCCCGGAAACAAAGCCAGCAATTGCGTGTCTCTTCAACACTGTTTCACAGAATTTTTTTGGCTCTTTCTTCTTATACACCATCCCACGAAAGTTTATAGTTTACCATTATTGTACAATACTTTTGTTCAGAAACTGACAGGTGTTACTAGGAAAGAGCCGATTGTGCACTGACATAAGGATTGGCTTCAACAGCCGATAATTTTAAAACAAAATCAGAGTAAAAGAAACAAATACCACACTAAAAAAACTCAATTTACAAGTGATACTAATAGAAGAACCTGAAGGTAGATTTAGCTGTGAGATCATGCCATGTTGACAATTTTTTTTGCAGATATTTGTAAACTTTTTAGGTTGGAGACAATTTTTGCTTGACTGTATTTCAAATTTTATTGGCTTACTGTAACTCTCACATTCCGAATTTGTCATTTTTATGTTTGTCATAGGTGTTTTATGGCTAAATATTTTTACTATATAAAGTACGCAGAACAATTTGTTTCACAAAAATTAGTTTTTCCCCCAATCTGAAGCTTCTTACATTAAGATCAGTTTTTAAAAATTTCTTATATTTGAAATTAATATGAAGGGTTAAAGAGAAAAAGAGCAAGTTTTTGATAACTTGGAATGTTTTTAACAGTTTTGTCGCTTCAGAATTATTTTGCTTGTCAGAGTTATTTTCTTTTTAAAATGAGCTTTTTCAGATAGCTTCGGATAAATGATATAAGACAGAGAAAGTTTAACAATTTTCTAAAGATTTTGAAACATATCAAAACCACCAGAGTTTGATGGAGTCACTAGAGGCCAGTTGCAAAGCATGAGCTTAATCAATCTATTAAAAAATCTACAATTGACTTTGCTTTTGTTCCAACTATTGAAAATGTGGAGGAACTACGTATTCGGAGCTGTTTTAAATTATTTCCCAAGCCAAATCAGGTACCTTAAATAATCAGTGAAACGGTTCGAATGATATTTCATGTTAAAGTCTTCTCATTTGTAGTTCCAATACCATTAAAAGGCTCAAAAATTGTGCCATTGGAGCACTCGAGTAACGTTCGTTATCTGAAAAATAGTTGAAAAAAACTTGATTTTACTGAAAAGAAAACTAATTTTGGAAGTTTTCTTTTGCGCTTCCTTGGCTGTAGTATTTTAACAGTTGAAATTTATTAGGAAAAAAAAACAATTTTTATTAAATATTTTTTCTTCGTTTCATTTTTGTTGCTCATTTCTTTGAAAACTCTTTGTCGATTAAAGACTATGTTCAATACATTATTTTTCCACGAGTTTCTAAAAAATTTTGTCTCACCACGCTCTACCAACGACTGTTTTCAAAAAAAATTCCTATATATTTTTTTTAAGAATGTGAACGGAGCATTTTGTGCTACTTGCACGGCAACCGCCTTTTTTTTTTATCACACTGCGAAAAAATTTTTGAGATGGCTATAGAAAATTTTCAAAATAAGCTTCACAGGAACAATACATATTAGAGATAAAAATTTTGTTGGTTTCTGACAATTTGCTAACACATTTTAGAAATAAAACCTGGCCACTTTTTGCATAAAGAGCGAACACTTAATTTTGCCAAGATATCCGTCGCTGACACTTCAGTTTTGCATGAAAGTAAACACATTTACATCAAAATCCTTATCAAATAGTCTGTAGACAGAAAGTAACTGAGACAAAATCATTTCAGCCTACCTCTGCCAAGGAAGCCATTGAAAACTTAGCCCAATTCAGATATGAAGCCATTAAAAACTTTACGTCAGACTAAACTGAAATTTTTAAAAGGTGAGTAAATCTGATTAGTCAAAGGTTTTTGCCTGATTTTGTCCTTGAGGCAAAACTGATTGCAAACTTGAACAAAACAACTCAATTTTTTTCAAGTATTTAAACTGCGTGACTTTCGAAATGCACTCTCGTATAAAATTAAAATTTTCATGGTAAATCATCCAAGCCTTTCTCTCAGCAAATTATAGGGTCTACCAAATACAAAAAAAAGCTGTTTGGGTGCTGTTGGTACCTTTTTTATTGGCTATTTGGTGACATTCTTTAATGGCAGACAAACTCTATATTCTATTATCTAATACGAACTTTAAGTCAAAGCTACAGCATTATTTTTCTTTTAATTAACTCCTTGGCTGTAATGGTGAAGCATCCTTTAAAAAAATCATTACTTCGTATGAAATCTATCTATATTGGAACAAGACTGCTTGTAT